TTCTAAGCTCCTTCTCATGCTAGAGAGAAGCCCAGAAAAAAGGCCTTGATGCTTTGAAGTGAGTGCTGAAATTATTGCCAAGGACTCATGGCAAAAGATCATGGGAAAAGAAGTTCTATTGATTCTTTTTTTTTAACAAGTTACTACAGTTTCCTCATCTTGGCCAAGGAAATGTGACCATTCACTATTGCCTACTGTTCAGAATAGCTTCTGTATCCATTTCTCATGTACCAGGAGATGCAGGATACTTGTCGTAGGATTGTAACTCTATCAAGAAAGTTTTGTTTATATGTTTTTAAAATCCTGTAAAGTTTCTATATTTTGGATCTCAATCTCTTATGAATAGTAAGGGAACTGCATTTGGTGCCTGGGATGAGATGCTGAGAAGCAGATATGAGATCACCTGTTGAAAGAGCTGTGAGACAACCCCAGCACTGGGTTTCATCCCTGCAAGGTCTATGTGCTCTTCTGGCTTCCTACAGAAGGTCTTAGGAGATCTCCAGTTCCTATACATGTACTATGGCTCTCTGGTAAAGTGGGTGCTATAATTTACCTCCAAGCACCAAATATTACCCAGTAATAGAAAACACAAATCACTCAGAAGTCTTTGTAGTGATCCACAGTCTATAAAGGGGCAGCAAGTATCAGTGGTATTGACTGTTCACTGAGGAAAGAGGAAGAAATGGTGTTCTGCTGTATGGGGTTTATGAAGAGAGTATATGGATAGCATCTCAAAATGAGACACAAATCACTCCAGGGAAAGAAACTTGTGTTATTGTGCTCCCTGAGTGAGAAAGTCTGGATCCTGTGCCTGACTCAGCCAGTGACCTCAGGGAAGTGACCTTGGCCTTATCTATACAGAGACAATCTGGAAAATGAATCTGAATTAACCTTTGCAAATTGAATTACTAAACTTCATTAAACTGTCTATGTGGACATTCCTGTTCAGAATTCAAGTAGCCTTCGCTTAGCCTACCTTACCTTACATCCACAATAAATGAGAAATCAAACTGAGCTTTTTTCCATTCTGGGTAAGACTATCCATACAACTGTGTTAAGTATGGTTTAACTAAATGACTGTAAAATCACCTCTCTTCCTTCAGACCTGTTTTCTGTGGTGGTCTCCCATCACTTTTTCTTCCTTCCATGCTATTTATTGGGACAAGATTCTTCAGATGAGGCAACTTCAATTATATGCACAGACCATGCCTACTGCAGGATCAACATTACCTGCCTCTGAGTCTAGTATGTAAATAGTAACAATGGTGTTAATTTAGGTAGGATAATGTCTGTTAGGGAGTGGTTGAGATGAAGACAGCTGGAAGAAGCCTCATGAATGCAGGTCCTGCTACACACGGAGGACTTCAACCTCCCTGCCTCTGGAACTGCAGTGGGACTGGGTGCAAAAATAAATAAATAAATAAATAAATAAATAAATAAATAAATAAATAGGATTTCTAGAGTGTCTTGAGGACAAATTCTTCAAGGAGGAAAATGAAGTGACTAGGAGGAAATGTTCTGCTGGTACCTTGACTCACAAACAAGTAACAGCTAATCAGAAACTGGAAGGCCAAGGCTTCTGACTGCTGCTGCCTGGCTGCAGCAATCATGAAATGATGGAGTTTCAACTACTGAAATAAGGGTGCACATAGTAGAACCCCAGCCCCAGATGCAGGAGAGCAGGCTTCAGCCACTTCAAGGATACATTTAGCAGGATCCAATGTGAAAATGTATTTGTTTGTTTGTTTATTTTGTCGCAGAGGGCAATGAGGACATGACAGTTAATATATCTTCATGGACCACCTCTTCCAGCATTTGTAGGAAGGCAAGTATGTGGGGCAGAACCTGCGTGGATGAACAAGGAATGTCTGACTGAGCTCAGATGCAAGAAGGAAGCTCACAAGAAGGTGGCAATGCATACAAACAGCCTTGGAAGATTAGAAAGGCATTGCCTGTGTCATCAGGATCGGGGTAGTATTTGCATAGCCAAGGCTCAGCTGCAGTGAGAACCAACAAGGGATGCGAAGGGTCAAGAGGAGGCTCCTAGAAGTACATGGGCAGCAGAAGGGAGGCTGAGGGACAGGTGGCCCTGCTGGTCATGGGGGCAGGACACCTGGTGACCACAGAGCCAGAGCAGACAAGGTGCTCAAGGCCACCTTTGACTTTTTTATTGCTGAGGTTTGCCTTCATGCCTGCCAGCCCCTGGTCCTAGCAGCAGAGTCCACAGCAGGAAGGCATCACCCATGCTAGAAGAAGATTGACTCAGGGCACACCTCAGCCAGCAGAACGCAGACCAGTCCACAGGACCCAGTGGGATGCACTGGAGGGTGCTGAGGGAGCTGGCCCATGCCATGTCTCTCTGGACAATAGTAGCAATCGGGGAGGTTCCTGAAGAGTGGGACAGGGTGAGCATCACACCTAACATGGGGCAGGGTGAGAAAGAGAGCTTGGGGAGCTACAGCCTGCCCAGCCACCCCTCTGTCCCTGGGGAGCTGAGGGAGCAAATCCTCCTGGAAGCCACTTCCAAGTACCTGAAGGACAAGAAGGGCATGGGGAACAGCCAGTAGGGATTACAAAGGACAAATCACACCTGACCAGCAAGAAAAGTGAATTAAGGTGAGGATGAGGGGTCCTCAGCTCCCCCAACCTTCCTCCTTGTCCGTGTGAGGGCATCTTACAGGCTGCTCCCAACACAGCCACCTTTGGCCACGCATGGGCCACTCCATCACAGAGGCTTGCTGAGGTCACAGTGGCCACCACTGCCCCGCCTTTGCTGCTGGCCCAGCATTCGCTGAGCATCTTGGCCCTCTGACTGCCATCTTGAGCAGCAGGAAGGAGACTAGGAGAGCAAGGTGAGCAGCAGGCCTCTTGGTGTGCCAGGACAGCCATGCAGTCTGGTGAAGCACCAAGAAGGAATGTACCTGACCAGAAGGAGACGTGTCGTGGGCAGAAGGATAGTGCCGGTGGCACAAGAGACACCAGTGCCCAAGGGACCTCTGGCACCCAGCCCACAGACACATGCAGGTGGTACCATGGGCATTGCAACAACGTGGGGAATAGGCCGGCCCCTCACACACCCAGGGAACGTGGGCCTTCCCATAGGAGCAACGGTGACGTGGGGCAAAGGCGGGAGGAATGGATGGAAGTTGATCCACCTCTGCCAGAACAGACCTGGGACTACTACAGCATGTCTTTGTGCTCTGCTATCCAAGAGCACCAACAGCCTTGCAGGAGTGCCCGGTGAGCCCCCTACCCATTGCTCAGGTTCCATCGCAAGCATTAGCTTGGAGCCACCAAACACCACGGGCATCCCACAGGCTTGCCTGCAAGATGTCCCAGCAATAAACAGCTTGCCCATTCTCAGGGGTTGTGTGAGTGCTTCCTTTCTTCTGGGGCGAATGGGCTAAAGTTGTGCCAGGGGAAGTTTAGGTTGGATATTAAGAACTTCTTTACCAAAAGGGTTGTTAGGCATTGGAATGGGCTGCCCAGGGAAATGGCTGAGTCACCATCCCTGGAGGTCTTTAAAAGACATTTAGATATAGAGCTCAGTGATATGGTTTAGTGGAGGACAGGTTAGTGTTAGGTCAGAGGCTGGACTGGGTGATCTTGGAGGTCTCTTCCAATCTAGGTGATTATGTGATTCTGTTTCCCTTTCTCATAGTAAAGCTTTCAACACATACCCTCTTTATAGGCAGACTGGGGAGATATAGACTGGATAAACAGAAAATAAGATGTATGAAATATAGGATGGACTACTGTGCTCACAGCGCAGCGATCAGCAGCTAAAATGTCCAGTTGGCAACTGATTACTAGTGGGATCCTTGAGGGGTTGATACTGAGGCCAGTACTGTCTTACAGCTTTATTGATGGCTTGAATAATTAGACAAAGTGCACTCTCAGGAAGTTTTGAAGTGATACCAAAGAAAGGAGAGGGGATGGAAGCACTTGATGCCCAGGAAGCTACAGCTGCTATTTAGAGGGATTCGACAGACTAGAGAAACAAGCTGACAATGAAAGAAAATTCACAGTCCTACATCTGGGATGGAATAACCTCATGAGGGAATAGGACAGGCTAGGGCACAGCTGGCTGGAAAGCAACTTGATAGAAAACAGCTTTGCAGTAAAGGAGCTGAGAGTCCTGGCAAACAAGATGTTGAGCAGGAATCAACATTGAGTCTACAGAAAAGAAGGGTAAGTACACCTTAGACTGTGCTAGAAAGAGTGTAGCCAGGATGCCAAGGGAAGTGTTAATTCCCCTTTGCTTGGCCCTTCTGAAGTTACCTCTGAAACACTGGGTCCAGTTTGGGACTTCCTAGTGTGAGAAAGGCATTGATAGATTGGAGCAGGTCCAGCAGAGCCCACTAGTATGGTTGGAAGGCTGAGATCTGTGTTCAGCCTGGAGAAGAGCAGACAAAAGATCTACTTGGTTTTTGCCACTATCTGAAAGGAGGGTAGAAAATACTCTTGGATGTGCAGAGTGAAAGGATAGGAGGTGAGGTTGGAATGCAGAAAATTCCTTGTAGATATAGGAAAGATGTTTTCACCTTAAGTCAGAAAGCAAGAGCAGGACTGTTTCATGGGAGGGGAAGACCTGAGAGTCAAGGGTGACCTGAACACACTGACCTCACTGACCACGGCACAGTCCTGCAGCATCTGACTAGTGTAGGTAGAGCAGGGTGATAGCAACAGGGTCCATCAGCCATCCCAGAGAAGGTCAGGTCATGAACCAGGTCCAGGGTCCATTCAGAGAATCCAATCAGCAGCAGCAGGTTAAAGAGACAGGACTGGAAACAAGGTTACAGCATCATTCAAGGTCCATTCAGAAGACCATACTGGAAACAGGTACACCTGAGAAAGCAGAATTTAAAGGCCTGGGGCTGGGCTCAAACTGAGGCCCAGACCCATTGGCAGAGTGGAGGCCCCAGGTTGGGGTAATTAAGCTCTATTACAGCAGTGATGTGTCAAACACTGAGATGCTGCCCAGAAGGGCTGTGGGAATCTCCATCTGTGGAGGTAATCAACCCTCAACTAGGCACAGCTCTGAACAATCTGATCTAGGCTGGTACTACTCTGAGCAGGGAGAACTCCTCAGGTCCCTGCTGTCCTGAATTGCCCTATGATCAAAATCTGAGATTTGACATCCCAGACATCATCCTAGGCTCACCCGTTGTCCTCATAGGACAGACATATTCACATCATGATGGCAATATAGTTCAGGATTCGATACTTCTCTCCATCATCTTGGGCATTTTTGGTGCATTATAAAGAAGTATTCCCTCCATATCTGTACAGTCTGGGTAAGTGGAATTGTAAGTATATAGAAAGAAAGAAACAATAATAGCTGTAGTTCCTTTCTAAATTGATTAATATCCCCCATTCATATGTAAATATGCTTGCCAAAGGTAATCCTTTGTACTTGCTCATATCTTTCCATCAGTGGCTCCATGTATGTCTTCTAAATTCCAGGGAAGCCTGTGAGATGTCACTCAATTCATCCTTGCTCAACAGTGAAGAGAGTGATGTTCAGGGAAGCCGAGTAATTTGTTTGGAGACATGGATACCACTGTGTTAGGTAGATCATTAAAGCATTGACTGCACTTGCCTTGTATTTCTGCTTCATGTACATTTCACCCTGCTTTTTGAAACAGGACATAGTCCACTCTCATAGCTCATCTGATGGTAACACATGAAGCAGCAGTAACACAAGTGAGTCTCTGAGGCCTGCAAGCAGTTCCCTAAGGATACACAGACTCCTTTGTCTTTCGCAGTTTCCCCTTGTTCATACAGTGAAATTGCTTTTATTTCCCTGGCTCTCCCTGAACACCTCTAGCTGCTCCCAGTTCAAAGTCCTTTCCTGGGACCCTTTCAATACTATGTCTGTTAAAATCAGTCTTTTTTCATCTGACTTCTTTTTTTTTTTTTTTTAGGAGATAATAATTATGGAGATCATTGTGTTGATGCTCTACTAGACAATCAGAGAGGCTCAGCCACCAAACTGTTGGCAGCAGGTGGACTCTGAGTTGCTATCTGCTCCAGTCGCCTGCCAGGAGTCCCCCACCCCCCTCAAGCAGATCCGTTGATGCGTTGTTGTGTATTTTTTGTTGTTATTGTTGATTGCTGACATAAAAGAAGCTGAAGCGACACCATTTTAAGCTGAGTATCCAAGGCGACCTCATTAACATCTCTGCAGAGGAGCCTTTTAAAAAACATCAGTCACGTTTGGTAGCGCTAAGTGGAAGAGAAACATTCTGTATTTTCTTGATCAATTGCTTAAAATTCAAGGTCGGGGTGCAGAGCAGTGAGGGCTCCCCGCCAGTCACTGCAGGGTTGGGCTGAGGGTTTTTTTGGAAAATAGTGATGCTGTCGTACTGGAGAAAATCCATGTGCTCCCTCAGAGGAGCACTATTGGGAATAAATGCTGGAAGCTGTTCCACTTGAGCAGATGGCTGAAAAACTTTGGCTGAGAAATAAATTGAGTATGACGGTCTGAGGGCCAATCACAGATGGATGAAATTCTAGTGATGTCCCAAATGTCCTGAACATAGAAGGTTCTCTTCTTTCCCCTTTTGTGCTAAAAATCATAGTAGGATTTTTAATACAGACTGAAAAAAAATGTTGATGGAGTGAGACACAGAGATACCAATAAGGATGGGGCTTAATGTCTTCTGGATCAGCTTCATGTTTAGAGGAACCCTGAGATTCTGCCACCTCCAGGTCAGCAGTAGAAGAAAAGCTGATCTTTCATGGACCATGCCACAGGGGTGGAGCTGATGGTCTGCCCCCACCCCACTCCTTTAGATACAGCCTGGCATTCACGTACGACACCTGATGTTATGAATACTCCTACTAAAGATGAGTCTTGCAGAACCCCAAAGCAATGATCTTCAGCATCTTTCAAACCTGCTTCAGGGTAGACTGGAAAACTGTGCTCTCAATATGGAGTTAAATCAAGAGGTCACTAGGAAATCCTTTCCTTGGTTTCAGGTACCTCCATAAAACCAGGGATATCCACAGAAGCTTCTAACCTCAACAATCGTTCTTCCTCTAGTGGAGCACGTAAAAGGAGCTTGAGCACACAGTATCAAAGCTTGTTCTTAAGTGCACAAGCCAACCCAGTGCCACTCCCAGATGTCCTGACCATGTGCATGCCCAGAAAACACCCTGAACCCAGATCTTCCTTTCCTACTTCTTCAATTGAGACAATGCTGGTAAGAGATCAGCTGTTTTGTTAGGTTAACAAAGCTTGTCAATCAACACTACCAGAGCCTAGTATGATTCCCCAGATACCCAGCCCTCTATAAGGTAACAGACAACAGAGCAACATTGTGCCCTTTTTAGCTGGAAGATTAGACCACACAACCTTGACATAGAGATTTCTTTCCTTAAACAGCCTCCTCCCCCTCTCATATCTGTGTCCACTCTTCCTCCTTCTCACCCCCACCCCCCTGCCCTCCTGACACCCCATTCATTACTTCTCATGATAGGAGAAACTCATGCAGCCCCAAAATGCAATCTCATGGGGCAACCTCAGCAACTTCCCAGAAGAAATAACATACATGATCAAGTGGACAACCTGACTCATTGTGGTGGATTTAATCACTGTTTTAATAACCCAGGATACTAAAATTCCATGGAGCAACAGGAAGAGTCTATGTTGCTTGTAGAATCTTAGTACAAATTTGCATTAACGTGTGCAATTTACTTAGATACCCTCTTGTGCTGTGTAGTCAGGTCAGTAACAGATGTGGCACATAAGACCACACTGTGAGGATTTGTCAGGACTCATTGAAACCTCTACAAGAAGTAGACAGGATTACAATAATTCCTGGCAGCAGCTCCTGAGAATGCTGCCTATGGAATTGAGATAGATATTAAAGGCTGGACTGAGCCTGCATCTGCATCTGCATCTGCAAGAAGTTTTACCAAATGAATTTATCAGCATCACTACTTATTCCTATCAGCCAGGGGCTGGTATGTGCTGTATTAGCTACCTTCAACTGTTTTTGTCAGATGCCCCTTTAAAAGAAAAGTTTCAAAACATGGTCAGGGGTGTATTTGTTTTTCAACAAATATAATTTCTCTCTCATATCATTTATATGGGCTTTAGTCATTTTAGTCATTTAGCCATTTTAGTTTAGGGTAATTCCAGAATAGGGGGAACAGAGGGTCCAATATGTAGAAGGGACTCTCCTCTAAGGGAAGTCTTCTGCCTTCCTGGGGCAGGTTAAGGATGTCACCAGGAGACTTCCCAGCTTGGTTCAACCCTCAGATTATTACCCATTGCTGGTCCTACATCTGGGAGGTGAAGAAGTGGCAATACGTAGCCTGAGAGCAATCAAAAGGGACTTCAAGGAATTGGGACAGATGATCAGGAACTGGGGTGCACAAGTCATCTTCTCCATTCTACCAAGTACTGACATTGACAGGAACAAAAGGATAACATCCATTAACAAATGGCTCCATGGCTGGTGTCATCACCAAAATTTTGGGTTCTTTGGTGACAGGAAGCCCTACAGGGCACAAAGCTTGCTAGCATCAGATGGGATTCATCTTTCCCAAAGGGGGAAGAGGGTCCTTGGTTGTGAGCTGCTGGGGACTCATTGATCAGGCTCTAAACTAGATTCAATGGGGGAGGGGGGATATCATCAGCGATGCTGGCAATAACCATCCCACTCATGCCAGCTGAACACCAGAACCAGCAAAGGATCCCCAGAGTCCAGAGAGAGAATAAAGCTTAACAGGAGAGCTATCATAGGCCCACATGGACGAGTTATAGTTGTCCCATCCAGAAAGGCAGTCGCACTGGGAGCCCAACTCAAATGTCTCTATGTAAATGCACACAGCATGAGGAATAAACTAGGGGAACTGGAGACGTGTGTGCAGTTTCAGTGTTATGTCCTCTTCACAATTACTGTGACATGGTGGAACAGCTCCCATGACTGGATTGTGGCCACGGATAGCTTTGTGCTTTTTAGGAAGGACAGGCCAGGAAGGCGAGGTGGTAGATTTGCTCTTTATGTGAGTGAGCAGCTGGAAACTATGCAGCTCTGCATAGGGGGAGACAAGGTGAGAGTCAAGAGCCTATGGGTGAGGATTAAAGGGCAGGCCAACAGGAGTGACATTGTGGTGGGTGGTTACTAGAGGCCACCGGACCAGGAAGAGGAAGAGGATGAGGCCTTCTACAGACAGCTGCAAGTTGCCTCATGTTTGCAGGCCCTGGTTCTTATGGGGGTCTTTAACCACCCCGATATTTGTTGGGGAGACAGCACAGCTCAGAACAAATGGTCCAGGGGGTTACTGCAGAACATTGTGGATAACTTCTTGACGCAGGAGGTAGATGAGCCAACAAGGAGAGGGGTGCTGCTGGACCTGGTATGAACAGAGATGGTCTAGTTGGAAACATGAAGGCTGAGGGCAGTCTCGGCTGCAGTGATCATGAGATGTTGGTCTTTCCTACCATTCTAATGGACCACCCATCCATTTTGGGGGAAAAAAGAACAAACCAAAAAACATTGGTTTGGCTGTTTGTGCAGTGTAGGACTGCTCTACTATAAAAATATACCAACCATTAAAAGAAATTATTTTTTTTTAGGAAGAACCAAGATACCTGTCTCCCTCGTGCCTTGGTGCTTAGGTTACTCTCAGAAATGAAAAGGTTGATTCTTAGGGGCAGTTGTACTAAGCTCCTGGGCATGGAACAGCATGGCTAAGACACAGCAGATGTGACCTTGTGAGAACTTACTTAGGTACAGATGTTAGGGGATTTAATTGGTGGCACTACCTTCACCCCGCAACACATAACAGGACATAAACCAGAAAACAGGACATTTGATGCATGAGAAAATACAAGGGGATGGATAGGAAGGTGTAGGGGAAACTTTGAAAAGATCAGTGCGAAGAAGCATGGATCTACTCACAAACTATTCGTGATTCAAAAAGAGGAAGCAAAAATTCCCAGACTGTTATTCTTTAGCTGTTAGTACCCCTGAATCACTGCTACTGAATGTACACTACCATGCAGACACTCCAGCATGCCTGGAGAGAGGCTGAAAGAGCATATGATATCAGGAAGCCTGAAGACTTCCCTTAGCACCTCTGAGGGAGCAATGATGGAGAGAATATCATGATAGGGCACTATTTTCCCAATTCCTTTGGTAATTTTTTGTTGCCTATTTGTAAAATGATGCTTTCTAAAAATAAACAAACAAACAAAACATATTAGGAGGCATTCCCACTCCCATTCAGTACATCTGTGATTTAGCAATGGCCATCTTCTTGCTTTACCTCTCCTTTGTAGCTGATGTGGCTTCTGTGGAGCCCTGCACAATCCTTTTGCAGGGGCCAGTACCTTCTGCCTCCAATGGACATTAGAAGCACGGGGCGGGTCAGGTCCAGCAGAGCCTCACACAGGCTGTCAGATCTTTGGTGTTGTGTGCAGGGCTAGGAAGGGTGTTTTCTCCCTGAAAGCCAAGGGAAGGTATCAGGGTGTGACTTTTCGAGTGGCCCTTGGAAACAGAAGTCAGCAGAGGTGCAGAACAGAAAGAGAACAGAGGGGTGCTCCTAAAAGGCACATAGGGCTAGTTCCTTTAGACAAAAGCACCTACACCATAAGCCAAATAGTTAATGTTGGCAGCAGTGCTGGGAGCACGCAGCCTGCAGCACTGCAGCAGAGCTCTGACAGCCCCACTCCAGCAGCAGAGCAATCAATCTTCTCCCGTTGCAGGCCTCAGCACCAGTCAATGTTTCTCAGCCATTTCTCCAATACCTGCAGGCTCAGTAACCGCTGCTGTACCTGGTGTTTCTGTGACTGATGTTTAAGGGAGAGATGCTCAATACTGCACTGCACTCATCTCACTGCTTCTGCTGCTGTGGACGATAAAACATTCCCCTGCTACTGTTGATTGTGAGAATCAAGTTAAGCACATATCAGTCTTTTGCTAATCAGGCCCCACATTACATAAATTGTCAAAAAAATGAGCCTAACAGAGACCCTTCCAACACAGGAGTGGAATAAAGGGGCTATGGTCCTGCAGGCTCCTGTCATGCCCAAGGGATTCGCTGCCTCCAGTGTTGTCTGAAGGGGGCTCTGTGGGTGAGGTCAGGATTTGCTGATGCAGAGTTTGAGCTTCTGGCATCACTGAGCAGACCTGTAAACTGACTGGATGGTGCTCAAAAGAGGAGACCAAGAATGGGTAATAGAGGATTACACCACTTCTTGCCCTGCCAAAAACATCCTGGGAAAGGAGCAAGCATGGACAGCCCACAGAAAACATTATAAAAACCTCCAGCTAAGAACAGTTCCCACAAGAGCTACAGCAGCTACAGCAGCACTCCTCAAACCATGGATGGATTATGTTGTTTAAATATCCTTGCAAATCACAAATCAGCAGATTTTTTTTGATTTTTTTTTATTTATTTTTTTTTCTGAGCTAGGCCGTTCAGGTTGCTTAGGAGGGCTAGAGCTGCCTGTAGAAATATGCACTCACCTGACCAGGCCCTCATTGTCTTTGCAG